CATATATATATATATATATATATATATATGAAAATGAACATACTATACTGTATGTATTCTAATAAATTAAATAACCAAATTACAGAAAGAGTAAGTGGTCAATGCTAAGCCCCTCCTCCCTCTAGTCGGTGGGCGGAGCTTACCTTTCAGTGGCCAGTGGTAAAGTGACTCTGTTAAACTCCCAGGTGATGATTGGAGGGGGCGTGGCTGTGATCTTACAGGTGAATCGTGCGACAGATCCCTCCATAACCGTGATTGATGCCGGCTGCTGAGTGAAGGAGGATAAATCTGCAGAAAGACAACAAAATAGTTACCATGAGAGCCAACATTTTCAGACTCTAAGAATATCAGTAGTGACTGTGAATGGATAATATGTTGTTTTATGAGAGAGATGAACACAATAGAATAACAATAGAATAACAGACAAAAGAAGAAAGAGCGAGGCTTGGTTGTAAGATGATCCAGCACACATTCTCACACTGTCAGCAGAGATGAACGAGTCAAACTGAACCAAAAGCTTTAGATAAACACCTCACGCTAGCATAACACACACCTTTTGGTAACACTTCTGTGTGTGTGTGTGTTTGTGTGTGTGTTACTCTCTAACAAAAACAATTGTGTTCAATTAGAAAGTGTTCATGCCAAGAGATATTTAAGAGTAGGGCTGTTTCATTATGAAAAAAAATTTATCACAATTATCACAAAGCTATCACAATTATTACTCGTTGACTTCGGAAACATAATGCATTTACTAAACTTTTAAATACAATAAACTTTTTAAATAAATAAACAAAATAAAATGAAAAAAATGTAAAAAGAAATCTCTTTTAACAGTGGATTTTCTTTAACTTTAATTATAATTAAACTGAAAAAATAAAAATAAATGTAAAACAAAATAAATATTATATATAAATGAAATAAAAAAATAAAAAAATATAACAATGACATTTTCATTTTTGTGTGCTGTTAGTTTTTATTCATAGTTTAATTAATAATTTCTTATTATTATATTTTGTTTTTATTAAAATTTTTGTTAAAGTTTTAGTAATATATATTTTTATTTCAGTTTCAGTTGTTTTGATACATAAAGTTAAACTAAATGAAAATAAAAAATGTTTCCTTGGGCACTAGCTGAATTTTTATTTCAGTTATTTTATTTCAAGTAACTTTTTTTTAATGGTTTTAGTTTTAGTTAACCATAATAATCTTGGCTCCATTCCTTTAAAAGAGACTCCTCTGGCTTTCTGAGTGATGATAATCAGTTAAAGCAAACACAATCCACCAGTACAGCAAACACAGCTCCCCATAAACGGCCTGTTTTAGGAATAGAAAGACATTAATGTTTGTTTAACGTGCCTCTTTAGCACATGCCTTCACATCGGTGCTGCGTTCCAGCTCTGACCTTCTCAGGCTAACAGCCATAAAACCCCCAAAGCCATTCAGATCAACCCCTGAAGAAGCCTCCGGTCAATAATTAGTTAAGAGGAATCAATGGAAGCTCTGCTATACATACAGACCTCACTATAAATCTCATGTTAGGATGGCCTCGGGCCTGAATGTTGCAGTAAGACACAGATAAGTAAGATGTAATCACTGACAGGAAGTCATCATCACAGATTTATGATGCTTCATACATAATTCTACCAGTGATAAAGCTCCTATTCTGTAAAAGCAGGTGAGTTGATTGAACTTCTAGAATGTCAATTAAACTACACTATGGACAAAGTTCTGGTGACCTTTGACACTGAGAAGTGTTATTGGATGCAGTGTGTGTTTGTGTTCTAATACTGGTTAAATTATAAGTCCAATAACAAATAACTACGGTCAGCACCTACAAATGCATATTGTTTTTTTTATATACTATAGTAAACCTTTAAAGTACTTTAAAGAAGGAGCAGCGTATGAATACCACAGTATATGAATATGATAATCATTCAGTGCCATGATATATATCAATGCAGGTAATAAATTTCACACGCACACACACAGAAAAATCTTGCGTGTGAATGCATGAGACATGAGATAAAATACAATGCATACCTTGCAATTTTACTCATTTGGATTAAAATGTCTGTAAATGCAATCTGTAGGAATTCTTGTGCCACACACTAGAAGTTTCTATGAATCACAAGCTGCATGTGGAGAGTGAAGTTTTAAAATGTATGTAAAGTACACCATCTGGACTAAAGTATGGGTCCCGACAGAGTTTTGACCGACTGAGGAAGCACTTTGGATGTTTCCAAGAGCTGAGCTCTGTTTTCTGAGCACTGAATCCATTCTGAACGGATGATTCTCCAAAGCAGTGGCACGTTCGTCTTGAGAAATCTGGAATTTCTCACTATAAAAACTGGAGAACTAAACACCCAAAAACCATCATTTCCAAACCCGTATGAATGACTTGAACATTTTAGATAATAATGGAGGTGCTAAATGACTAACGGGAAATAAATAAAAACTCAAACTAAAATAAATATAAATTTAACCTAAATAGTAATGCATGTATGTATGTATGTATTTATAAACATAAACTAAATAAACTTACAAAAGTTGTCAAAATTACTAAAAATTAAACCAAAATTATCCATTGAATACTGAAAATATAAATGAAAAAGCTCACTCAAAACATTAATAAAAACTGTCATAGTAAATAGTGATGAATGAATTATTAAAAAAAAAAACACTGACGAAATCTTCAAGGTATTTTCTTTTGTGTTGTGCAGAAGAAAAGTCATGCTGATTTCTGGGTGAACTATCCCTTTCAGGTGATAATGTACAAGTCACAAGCCTTCAGTGTGCTGTGATTATTAGGAGATATGATCTGCCGAGGGTTTGGACTACACTACAGCAGATCTATATACTGATACTGATCAACTATTTAGAGTTTAAACCCATCGACTGTTCTCACAACAGCACGGCTATTTCAGACCATTTCAGACAGACATTTCATAAAATACTCTTTCATATGGAAGCTAGTTTCTAGTTTTTTGGGATAAAAAAGCAGTTATCATAAAAAAAGTCAGAATTGCAAGATATAAGCTCACAATTACAAGAAAAAAAGTCAGAATTAGGAGATATAAATTCAGAAAAAAAGTCTGAATTGTCAGATAAATGTTGCAATCACCTTTTTAAATTATTTATTCCATGCCAGAAATGGACTTTTATTCAAAATCTTTTAGTTTATTAAACTACAGCTTGATGTAGTCTGTGTTTGGCTGTGCAGCTGCTAAGTCAGCATTATAAGAGGATCTGTAAGTCTGTCCCTTCCACTGACCTGACCTCTGACCTCTGACCTCAACAAATCCAGGGCGGCAGTAAGGCATCCCGGCCCACCAAACATGAACCAGAAACCAAGCCCTAGCACAACAGAGCAACTCTAGAAGTGGACACTTCCGTTTGGGAGCGATCTGTTTCAGCGAGTTCCTCTCCTTCGCTCAGGAGATGCTTTCAGAGCAGCGCAGGTCTGTGGATCGGCACACACCGGGTCAGCGGGCAGGTCACAGAGGGACAACGGTTACCACGGCAACACCAGGGCCCTGATGTGCAACTTTAGAGCCTCCATCTCCATTCCAGCCCTAAAAACACTCAGTCAACTTTTCACTGAGAGAGAAAGATCATTGCAAGCCTTTATGAATTGAACTTATTTGTGAAAAAGACAGACAGACAGACAGACATCTATTAAATAATTTAATAATTTAAATAAATGTAATACATATTAAAAACATATTTTTTATTATTATTATTATTATTGATAATAAACATATCATATTTAATATCATAACTTGTTATAAAAACTAAATTATTTTTCTGTGTAATGATTAATGTCATGCAATTTATATATTATTTTATGCAATTGTATTATGTAGTTAGGATGAATGTGGAGAATAGGTATGAAAAAAAATCACATGAATTCTGACTGTTCACATTGAAGCCACATCTGATTTCTATGCAGTTTATTTCCACATATGAATGTGATAACAGACCTGTGACACACGTGATGGAAAAAACGGTCAGGTTTTGTCCATATTTATCTGCATTGTTTTGGTTCTGATTATATTCTTCTAAACACTGCATTAACTGCCTTCAACAGACTGATCTTAAAATAATACTTGTGCAGACAGGGATGAAACTTTCACCCTCTCTCTGTTTGTCTGTCTGTTTCAAAAGCAATACAAGTGTGTAAAAAAGCGGTTCTGAAAGCGGATCATTACCAAGAGCCCTAAAAGATCTTTTAGTGCAGGTAAGAGATGCCACCAACATACTGACATTTCAGCCTTCAACACACACACACACACACACACACACACACACACATACTAAAACTACAGTGTTTCTGTCAGAGTAAAACATCACTTACCAAGTAAAAACTGAAAGCTGTTCATTAAGCATCTCAGCTTCTCTAGAGACCACTGAAGAGATTCTGACACACTCAAATGCAACTTTGACAAGTTAAAATGCCGTATTATAGGATGCAGTTAATCCATCTTTAATGCAAAAGTAATTTGAGATGTTTTAAGGTTTTATTAGCAGATGCATTATGCACAAGCGCCGTGAACAAACACAGTCCCGCTGTGTCGTGACCTGACCTCACCTCACCTCTTGCTCACTCCTTCGTTAGAGAAATGACAGCAGAGGCAAAGAAGGCTTCGTCTGTGAACAGAAGGGAAGAATGCAAAGCCCAAAAGCTGAGGATCAGTCAGGGTCCGTCCAGCAGGCGAGTTACAGCACCAGACCTGCAGGACCCCCGCCGGCCAATCAGAAGCCAGAATCGGCCCCTCACCAGCCAATCAGAGGCCAGGCTCAGGACCTCTCCCTGTGGCCTTTGGCCTCTCAGCCGTATGGGGGCAGGGAGGCCGGAGAATATCCCGAGACCCTTATCTTCCCCCCGAGCCCTGAAAACAGCACGGCTATTGTGTCTTATCTGATATGCTGAAGAGCAACAGGTCAAACGGTCACCCCTAGAGTATTATCTGTGATCAAATAAATGTAGAGTAGCACTCACACCGCCTGCTTACACAGCGTTTTTAGGTGCGCTCATGATACGACAGAAACATTAATGCATGCATTTTGGCAAATTCTCAAGCAGCATGCATGCAATCCTAAAATGCACTGATATCACCGTCCTCCTGAATCAAATCCAATACTTGTTTCTTACTCATTTTGGGTGCTGATTCCAAAAATAGTGGCTGTTTTGCTGGAGCACGTCACACTTTCTCAGAAAATATGATGCATTTTGTAGCATTTTTGCTTTTACAACCATTTGTGTGGTGAAGAAGTCTTGTATTATCACTTAATCAGCAGAAAAACTAATACAAACACATGATTCCTGTCTGAATCTGAGCCAGATTACAACTATTTGTTCAATTTTCAACCCATTTTTATAAGTTTGAATGATTCGAAACAATTTTTTTAATGCCAAATCCTGTTTTTTCCCCCCATTTTTTCCATTCCTTTGCAGGCTTGAAGTTAAATTATATATTTTGAAATCTGCTTTTTGCCATTAAACTTTTGTCATTTAACTGCTGTTATTTTGTGCATTAGTGTATTAGGTTACACTTTATGTTAAGGTGCCCTTGTTACAGTTTAATTATTCATTTAGGTACTGAGTAATATTAATTAACTACATGGTTAGGGTTAGGATTAGGGTTTGGCTTAGGGTTACTTGCATGTAATTATGCATAAGTTATTGTTATTATAATAGTAAGTACACATAACGTGTAAAAAAGGACACCTTAAAATAAAGTGCTACCGTGCATTAAAACTGATGCATATATGTAATTTGAAAAATCTTCATTCTTATTTTGTGAAAAAACTGTATGCGATTTGAACTTAGCATCATCCAAATAGGTCATATTAGGCCTTTTTTTCCCCAAGTTATCAGATATTTTTATTTCGGGATGCAGGGTTGTGTTATTAAATGCATAAAATTCAATATTCAACATAATTTGATACCAAAATCTCATGCTCTTGAAGTGAGGAGTGCTATTCCTATATGATGCTAGGCATGTGACGGTATACAATTTTCATATCACAATAATTACTGAAGCTTTTATCATGATATTGAGTACATTACAAAAACAGGTTGAAAAGAAAAACGAACTATCCTCTTAATAACAAGTTGTATAGCTTTTTTCAAATAACATAAATAAGCTTTAACATTTAATAAAACAATACACAATAAAAATGTAAAAAAATCACAACTCTGAAGAATTATAATACAGAATCAGAGGATACTGTGCATGTTAATTACTGCAGTATACCATATTACCAAATATGTGTGGTGGGCTTCAAGGCAGATCACTAGATTTTATAGCACAGCCTCAGTATCTCAGGACTAGATCGAGTCAGCTCTGGTGGTCAGGACTCATCTAAAGGAGCCGTGTTTATATATATATCCAGAGAGATGAGCTGATCTACGCTGGCATGTTTTTGTCTGTTATTAGCAGGAATATTTCACTCCTCGCCGCTGTTTCCCTGCACACAACCTGCTGGGCAATTTAAAGCAACCTCTGACCTTTCCGAGTCCGACCGCCACTCAGGGAAACCGTGGAAACCTTTCACATGCCACACTGCGCACTAAAGCCGTTTTGTCCTTCTGAAATTCCTCAAACATCTCATCTCACACTCAAACACTCCAGGTTTGACTCATTATCTGACTCCGGAGACCTGAAGCATCGCCTAGCAAAAAATATGATTTTTAAAGAATATATGCTATTTTCATCATCAACCGCTCAGAGCAATTACTTTACAAGCACCATTGCAAAAAAAAAAAAGCAGTATCATAATTTTTCCACAAACTACTCCTACATCAGACATCCAGTCGGATTGAGGAAAGAAAAGAGTGTTTTGATGTTCCTGTAGCAATTCCAGGAATTCTAGGAACACATTAGAGGCCCTCGGGGACCCGTTTCCCAACACCGGCCCTCAGAACAAGCAGGCGTGAGTCACAAACTCATGTTTCTAATTTTAAACTGCTGAAGAAGGCCACCTTTGACATCAGCGCTGACCCGCCGTCTCCATACACAATGGATTTACATTCAGTGAGGGAGTTTAAGACCTCTTGCAATGTTAACAAGATCATCTTTACAATATTTAAGGCCTATACATCCTAGAAATTCAAAATAGAAATTTTGAATACACTTTGGGCTCAGTAAATTTTGTTCTTTCTTTTTTTTCAAGAAATTAATACTTTTATTCAGCAAGGATGTGATAGTAAAGGCTTATATTGTTAGAAAAGATTTCTATTTTGAATAAATACTGTTATTTTTTAACTTTTTATTCATCAAAGAATCACATGTTCCAAAAAATCTTAAGCAGCACAACAGTTTCAACATCGATAATAAATCAGCATATTAGAATGATTTCTGAAGATCATGTGACACTGAAGACTGGAGTAATGATGCTGAAAATACAGCTGCGCATCACAGAAATAAATTATATTTTAAAGTATATTCAAATAGGAAACCAATATTAGAAATAGCAATAATATTTCACAATATTTTTGTTTTGTCTGTATTTTTGATCAAATACAGCCTTGATGAGCATAAGAAACTCCATTAAAAAACATTCAAAATCTTACTGATCCCAAACTTTTGAACTGCAGTATATATATATATATATATATAAATAAAGGAAATAGTTTTCGTTTAGTTGTAGGGTTTGGCTCAATTGCATTCATCTAATCAGTTTTTATATAAGACAATAGTTGAAGGTATGTCCTCATTTAGATAGTTAAGTAAACATGTGTTAGTGACTGATATACGAGTAGAGGTGAGAAGGGCAAAAGGTCTAAACATGTGGAACCATCAATCTCACACACACACACACACACACAACATCTGCCAACACGCGGTGTCAAAAAACACAAGCATGATGAAAAGAAAGCGTGTCGCCTCCATCACCACATAACGGTGCTAAAATCACACTCAACCTCTGGACTCTCACTTCTCATCCGAAACAACACAAACTAAGCAGCAATCAAACTTTCCTAAATCCCTGCATACTTCTCTCTCGTTTGCATAATTGCCCTTCCATTGGTGCAAAGCGCCAGCTGTCCTGACCAGCTCGATCTGGTCAAACAAATGCTCTGCAAAGAAATCTGCTTCTTTGGCCGGAGCAGTTGGGGGCAGATGGGACAAAAGGAGACGGAGAGAAAAAAGCTTTCACGAATTCAGCAAACTAGCGGAGCAGAAAGCAATCGCATGGAGGCCACCAGCTCGACTAGCTGCCATAAAACCAGCCATTCAGGAGCAGAGGACTTCAGCTCTCAGTGTCTTTCAGCTTATGTGAGTGTGTGTTTGTGTAGGTAAGGCTGGAAGATCAT